GTGGGGGCGGGGAGCCGCGGGTGAGGCGCGGCCCCCCCTGCAGCAGCGCCGGGGCGCACGGACCCACTCGGGGACCGCGTCTGCGCCGCGCGGGGAAGGGGCGACGGGAGCTCAGCCTGGGGGCTTCACCCCCCCCAGCGCGGAGCAGCTGCACTGCAGTCTCCGCCTCAGGTGCGGGGCGGGGGGGGGACAATATACCGGCCGCACCCCACCGCACCGCCCTGCCCGCGTGCAAGCGGGAGCCCTGGAGAGAGCCCAGCCCCCTACACACAACAGAGCACCTATGTCACGCGTGTGCGTGTGGAGAGGGTTGCGTGTGTGAGGTGCGTGTGTGCAGAGGGAGTGCACGCGTGTGCGTGGGGAGGGGGGTGCACGCGTGTGTGTGGTGTGGGGGTGCGTGCGCGCGCGTGTGGTTAGTGACTCGGACGCTTTGCGGGAGACGTGAGCTGCCGTGACGGGCAGGGCAGCGAGCGTACCTCGTTGAGCGACTTTTGCTTGTGTTACTCGGGGCGGGAACCCGACTTCATCACGACCCGATCCCGGCGCTGGTTTTGTGGCTGTATCTGTGTACAGGCTTCCCTCGCCAGCCACGGTTTTGAGTATCCACACGTAATATTCTGTGTGCTGTTTTGGGTCCCACAGCGTGCAGTTTTGAGTAACCACAGTTTTCTGTGGCCACGTACACTGGCCATTTTTCCCGTCAGCTTTTTGTCGTGCCAAGTGTGGTTTTGCGAGCCACGGACACTTCCAGGAACCTAACCCCAGCGGTTGGTGAGGGAAACCTGTATCCTTAGTGCTACGCGTGGCTGCTGTGTCATGGGAGATGACTTGCTGCTGAAGGTTAGTCTGCTTCCTCTGCAAACAAAGCCAAAATCCAGAAAAGCAGAACATGCCCAAGTGCGGGGGGCTGGACCCGACGATCTGTAAGGTCCCTTCCAGCCCCCAACGTCTCTGAAACTCTGTTCTCTTCTGCTCAGCAGGTACTCACTCCCAGGCTGAGATTTCCGAGGCAGGAGCACAGCCCGTAGTTGTTGCTCGGAAACAATCGGTATTGATTGTGGGGAAATTGGTTTGGACATTGGCGACATGTAGCGGGGTGCACGCGGGTGCACGTGCACCCCCTGAGAATGGCCGTGCACCCCTTGGAAGTGCCAGCCATGAAGTGAAAAGTGCTGGCAGAAGTGTACTTCCAGTTTCGCCGCTGGCTCAGTGATCAGCCGCTGAGCCCACCCTCCCGTCAGCTATCTGGTGCTCCCCCAGACTCGGGAGGCATCGGTCGCTCATGGGTTTGGAAGTACAGTCACTCTGGGTTGGGCGTGTAAGGACTGGCATGAGCCCACTTTGGAGTGAGGATACATGCAAAAGTCACTCAACTAGGTATGTTCGCAGTTAAGTCTGTCATTGCCTTGGCAGGGCGCTGGCAGTGCCCAAGTCCCCCCTCCAGCACCTTGCAGGACATTTCTGGAGTTTCCAGTGTGGTATCTTGTAGTTCTGGATGAGACCATTTTGGAGAACCCTTGGGTAAATGGTTGCGTATGAATGCAGTGGGCTGAACTCTTTCCAGCCCTGTGATACAAGGGTCGTTGGACCCACAGTCCCCCAAAGGATAGGCAAGTTATCCTGCAGCTGACTAGGAAAGAAGCCCAGAGCATCTTGATGCAAGACCTGCACCGCCTTGTAGGTGCGTGGAGGGGGCGATGAGCTACCTGTCTAGTGAAGGGGTGAGAGCTGGAATCCCAAGAGCTGAAATTTGGAAGCTGTCTTCACACTACTCAAATGCTCCTACTCTGACTTTCTCCAGGGTCCTGGGAGAACAATCGTGTGCGGACACCCTGGGAACAGGACTCCAGGAGCAGCTGGATTGCCTTAAGGCTGGGAGGTTAGTGCAGAACTCAAAAACACCAGTAGTGTGTAACCAGCGAAT